CCCCAACTGCTGAGTGTTCATATTGAGACCAAGCATTCCACTATTTAGATCGCTCATGACAAAAAGCAATGTTTTAACATGGTGTTAATTTTTCCCCTAAGAAGGGTTAACTCCAACTAAACAGCATGCAATAAAGACAGAACATTTCCCCAATAAAACTGAAGTCATTTCTATTCCGTACAATAAGCTCGGGAAGCAAAATAAAAATCTATCTGCATAGTATGAGGTCAGTCAGGCTATGGACGGTTATTTTACATCTGAATATTAAAAACATATGCTTCTCCGTAGAGGTTGTTAGAAAACCTGAACCTGCTGGTGCTCAGTCTCTCTCAAACAACGCTGAACACCTTCAAATCCCAGCGACCAGAGGACTCCAGGGGGCCAAGGCGCGCAGGATTGTAACTCTATATGATGAAAACATGTATTGTTTAGACAAGATGATGAACATTTTTTAAAATTTAAAATTTTATCTTTAATCATTTCTTATTTACAAATGAATCCTAACAATGAGGTAATATATCCACAGCCCCATCGGTTTTAGTCTCACAACTCATACACATTCCATACACAATGCTAATTAGTTTGTACTACAGCAAAAATGTTCCTAATAAACAGAAACATGAAACAACTTCAGGGTTCCTTTTTGATTATGCAATAGCCGTGGAAAATAATATTTAGGAGAAGCATTTTTACTGTATATATACCCAGTGGGTTAACTGCACCAGAAGCGATGTGGGTGAACTCTGTCCTGGGAAAGATGAATCGCATCCCTGCTGCGATTTTCAACAAGTCTCTGCATCACCAAGAACACTTTCACTCACTTTCTGATTTTACAAGAATACTTCTCCCTGTGTATATACAGCAACAGCTAAGACAGGGCTGCAGTCTCAGGTGGAGTCTCTAAATTGAGTTTTGACAGGAGAGCGTCAGGTTAACAAAAACTGCATACTGAGTTCACATCTGAGGCTTGTGTGCCACCCACTGTGACCAGAGGTGACACAGCAATCTTTATTTCGCAAAGCTATTAAGAAAACAAACAAAAAAAAAAGAGAAAAATAGATAATGTTTCAATTTTTGGTTGGTTTTAGAAATTTGACTTTAACAAGAAATTAAAAATGTTACATAACCACATAATTGAAGCATCATTACGACAGATCGTTTACTTAAAATGATCCATTTTGGCTAAGAACCTCCTGGATATTCACTCTGTGGTGCAGCATTCTCTTGACTAGTAAAAGGACACAAACAGCAATCTGGTTTTTCAGCTTATCCATTTATGAATATATTTGTGCTCCGACAAATTTTAAAGGAACCAGAAGCAAAAAAAAAAAAAAAAATCCATCTTCAACAGCATATACCAAGTGGAGAGCGACACAGTAAAAAAAAAAAAAAGCCAAACACGACACATTTTGCAAGCTACCAATATTTACCATCCGTCACAGAGTACTATATTCTCATACAAGCATGTCACAATGAGAAAACAACATCTCTATAAGGGTAAAACAAACAGCATTCAGAATTTCTGAAAGCATTCTTCCAAAATTATTGCACTAGATTAGATTGCCTCATCAACAGGGCCAGAGGCCATTGACACTATTTTCTTTCTTTTTTTTTTTTTTTTTTTAATGTAACAGATGAAAGGATTACAGAAAGTTTTCTGGGGCCAAATTTGGAATTAATGATGGGAAAATTCTTTTGCTAATCCCCCATCTCTCCCACTACTACCAGACTCCTGAGGCTGGAAAAAAACCAATGTCTCCTGGTACCCTGCTTCTACTTTGCTCCTCAGTGTAAAATACTACTCTGAGGAGGTTTGAAAAGGACCCTCAGCTTTGAGCAGAGCCATAAAACCTCAAGGACAGAGCTATACTGAAAAATCTGAGTAAAGAATGACATGAGACTCCAATTAAAACTTGGACGCATCGCAACACAATCAAAGGATGGGACTGATCTGCTCGGGGCAGATGTCTGCCAAGCAGCCACCTCCAGCAGAGCCCAGGTTCGCTTTACCATCGGTGGGGAAAAAACGGGCTTTTCTGGGACACGCCGTGCCCTGCCCGCGCCGGAGGGATCACCCCCGAGCAATCCCTGCCGACTACGGAGGAAGCTCGGGGAGATCGGCCAAAAGACGGGCGCTGGGGGAAGCTGGCGTCACCCAGCCCGAGGAGAAGGACCGATTCTTCGGGAGAGCACAGCAACCACCGCAGCCGGGCCCGTTTGCGGGATGCCCTCTTACAAACCTCGAACATCACTCCTCGCACTGCCTGTCAGCCCACCAGGGAAGTAAAAATAGATACCGCCAAGTAACTACCCTTCTAAAAGCAAAGTTTAATCATTTTTCAGTCATTTAACAAACACAAAAGAATTTACATATACCAACTCTGCTCCAGAAGTAAACTTTGCATAATTAATCAGGATGCCTCCAATACTCGTCCATCTGCAAATGCACAGCTACACCAACTGGCACTCAAGGGAAAGTGCCTCGGGCCACTCCAAGAGCTGGGAAGTGCAAATATCTCAGCTGCCAGGGAAGGAAAAAAGCCAGCCTAAATAACAAGTTGTCTGGAAAATAAAGTACAGTTACCCAGCTCCCTAAAGTGTTTCGTTACCTATCAGACATTATCAGCTACTTCTGAATTAAGCCGTATTTTATCCTACCGCCAGAACAAGCTAAAGGCACCTAATTAGTTGCAGAAGGTGGGAACGTCCAAAGCAGGTCAGGGAAGTGGAAGTCAAGCTTCCTGCAGAAACAGGCAGTTAGGTGGAAAATGTGACTCAAGAAGAAATATTGATGCAGCACTTAATGAAGGGGAACTTCCCCTCCCCACAATACAGACGATGCCATTATCACTTCATATTACGAAGGAAAGAGATTCCTAGTCAGGGGAAATCACAGGGCAGTCACCCCCATCAACCTGACCACGTACGGTGACACGAGACTGGCAGAGCGTCTGAGAAGTCCGTAGATATTTTATGCCCTGTGCTTAACTAAGATGTGTAAAGGGAAAGCAGCCCCTGGAAAATATTGCTAGGGATTTCAACTCTTCCAGTGTACCAGTGGCAACAGAATGCCCGACCATATCCCCCTGTATCGGGGGAGGGGGGGAAAAGGAGAGAGATTGCATAAAGTCAGAGAAACATGGGAGTTCCACCAAGTGCCGAGTGATCTGGTCCCCGCCTGTAAGAGCCAGACTATTTCCCACCTTTTTCAAACTACTTAAAGATCTACAAACGACACACTACATGGCTACCAGGTTTTATTCTCCCGATTCTAGGACAGCGAGAAGCAGAGGCAACTCAGGGTTTTCTCTTCGCCCAGGATGTGGCCCACAAGCAGCACAGGCAATCTTCCCCACTGCTTACTCTGAGCACTCGGGAAAGTTTCCATCTTTTGAAAAAGAATTGCCTGTAGCTCAGAAAAAAAGAGCTCACATGAAAACACTGAGGATTTTGCTCTAGGCTTTGTTACTATCTGTAAGACAAGCAAATCAAACACAACTGGCATTATTTGCGTTATTTGTAAAAAGGAGGCTTAAATGCACTCCCAATTTCACAGATGTTTCGAGGCTTCATTGCTAGAAAAAATCTGGCACAGTCACACAGAAATGCGATGGTACAATACGCAGTACCTTCAGGGTCCCAAAAACATAAGGGTTTGGGGAAACCTTCCCCTATCCCCAACAGAGGGAAATGGGACACAGATCATATATTTTCCTGGTGAGAAACCAAGGTTTCACAGAGAATTAGTAAACACGCTCATGCTTCCCACCTGTTTTCTATCTAGAGCAAAAAAAGCAATTAATATGACTTTTTAAACAATGGTTAATAGAAGAAACTTCAGAAACAGAGATTCCTAATTGGAAATGTCTTTACTCACACAAGGCAGAGGATCAAAATATGACAAGACCACTGAGCATAGTTTCTCCCAGCTGTGCAAACCATTTCTTAGCAATCTTAAGATTAATAAACAAAGACATATTCTAGACATTTCATATCCCTCCTGGATTCAGCCATGTATGCAAGGCAAACATGAGAAAGCTGTCCTCTTACTTCACTCTCAGTTGGAACGGAGCTCCGGAGTAGTACTTCATCCTACAGGATTGTTAATATAGGAACCCCCTTGCTCTGAGCAGACATGCAGGGAAATACAAGTGGAAAAAAAAAAAAATAGGTCCAGGAAGAAGCCGATGTAAGCGTTATCATTTATTAGCAAGTAAAAGGACATTTACCTTCTCGGTGGTTAAGTACAACATAACCCAAGGATAAACCATATGGCTCAAGTCTTTGTGCAAGGGAGAAAGCTGGCAGGGTTCCACGGCTCTAATTGAACTATTACCATATTGTAAGAAATGAAAAAAGTCAGAAGGACTGGAAGATCTGCTCTCCTAGGGACAGTTTATGTCATGCGAACAATTAAGTGAGTAACAAAGCATATTTAACAGGAGAGCAATTCCCCCATTTGGATATCGGCTCATTTTAAAGAAAATAGGTACTCTTCTCATTCAGTATTGCACTTAATTTGATCCTACATTCAATGCCATGAAACCTTCAAAATCCAGATCATTTGTAGCAAACAATACAACGCTTCTCCTTTAATCGCTGGCTCAAGACTTTTCCATTTAGTTAATAAGGAAAGGCACAGAATAAGAACGCTGAAGTGAAACCCAGCAACCCATAAAAGCTTACCACAAAAACTGTCATAAAACTGAAAAATGCAAAAGATCGAGTACAAAACTAATGTTGTGCTTTGTACAAATAATCACCAATCTTTTCTTTCAAAAGGTAGGCTTGATAAAAATGTACCAAGTGTTAGACCTTGTAGACGCACAACAGGGTATATAACCACCCGGTCATGAACGGATAGAATCTGTAAACCTTTACAGTATTGTCTTGGTACTTTGTGGGCAAAAAGCAGCACAGTTGTATGAGGAGTGAAAAAAATAAATCACAATCTTACATAAAAATGAGGCAAAATGAGCCTCTGTGAATCTTGTTCTTACCATTCTGTTCATCCAGCTCATTCCCAATTTCCTGCCCCATTTGCTTTTGCCGGGATATGATTGAAGACAGAGCATCGAGTCCAGCATCTTGCTCTGCGCCAGAAAAATAGATAAAATTACATGAAAAAAAAAAATCACTGATATACCAGCCTATGTACCATAAAAGATGTAGAAGCATTAAAATGCATTAAGAAAAATACATCAACGCAACATGAAAGTGAATCCTTATGGTAATAGCATTCTTAAAACAACGTGAATGATGGGTAATTAATTTGTCTGCTCTGGCTGGGGCATTTAGCTGAGGGTCCCCCTTCCCCCCCCAAAAAAAAAACCCCAAGAATTCAACATTCAGTTCAATCATAAATGCAGGAGATTTTCTGGCGCACACACATAGAGATCCCTGATTAGCCTTTTTAAATTTTCCAAGAAACTTCTAACATGAATAAGAGACAAGCAGGTGATGCAAACACCAAAGAATTCAAATTGATATTTAAAGCTGCAGGAGGACACAGAGTGCACGGAAGAGAGCCTGAGACAGAGGAGGCACAGCGGGGGCAGCTGAAGTTTGATGCGCTCCCACCAGCTCTGCAGACACTCCTTTATTAAGGTCCGTATCACCTCTGCTATTCCAGTTTGCAGGCACCACCCAGTCCTCAGTAAGCACCTTAACCAAAACGTGCAGCTCTCCTTGCCCAAAGTCATCAAGAAGGCAGAAGAGGAGGAGACGGTGGAGGCTGGACCATCGGCGGTCTGACAGAGAGCAGAGCAGCCACGTTGCAGAGAGCAGCACTGCCAGCCAGCCCCAGTCCGGGAGCCAGAAGTGGTACAGGATAGCCAGAACCCCCTTCCCTTCCACAGGATGAAGGTCTGGCCCCCAACACCTCTTCCAGGCTCCCCAAGGGATACCTGTGGCGTAATCAAAAACTGGAGCTTGAGTTTTCTCCTGAATTGTAGCTATAAATGTTGTTTCACATGCAGACTGAAGCGGGCCCTATCTGGAGACTGATTGCATTTGATCACTTCCAATACTTTAATTGCACAGAAATTATCTCCTTAACCACCTGACGTCCTCAGGCTGAGGTTTTCCAACACTTCCAACGTTAGAGATTCCTTACAGATGCTGTGGGCCAAAATCTAAAGACCCTTTTTATTAGCTAAGTTAATTCTTACCTCGTTCCAACCCAACAATACACCTAACGCACCCCAGCCTGAAGCCCAGCAGTAACACCACTACACTCAGTGCAAACAACGAGATCTCCACCGCAAACCAAACCCATGAATATGGTCAAAACCAGGGATACCCTGTAAGGTCTTTGAAAATTTGATTTAAGAAGATGTTTCCAGTCAAGAATATTGCAAGCACAATACTGCTCCTGCAAATACATAAAGCAATCGCCTGGAACTATTATGTTTGACTTCTCCAGATAACAAAACTTAGCACAGGTTGTTGTATTGACGTTCTAGTAACAGCTTCTCTCAGAGTCCAAGCCGTGCTTATAAACACCAGACTCACTCTTGTACCTTCTATGATCCTTCGTTGCTGCTGCCTGAGATCGTCAAAGCCAAGTCCTCTGGTTTCCTCAGATTCTTCCAAGAGCCAGGGGTTGGTTACACCTCGTTTGACCCCTCCCGTCATCAGGCTAGATCTGAAAAGAACTTCAGTAAATAATTTTCAACAGAAAACCCATTCATCGTGTTATTTCTGCTTGCAAAACTGGCCAACAGAGATGGAAGCATATGTATTTGTTGCACTCCATGTGACACTCTGCAATCATAGAAGAAATTAGCCAAAAAGAATCCGACTATCTCCAAATAACAAATGCATCTCGCAGGCTCCATAACCCCCCTGCCTAGAAGTGGTAAAGCAGGGAGAGAATTAATTTTGCAGTGAGTTAAGCTACATGGTTAAATGCATACCATACGCTGCGCAATATATTTATATTAAACATCGTTTGCATGTAGAACACACAGTACTCAAAACTGCTACAAAAAGAACGGGTACTGGGAATACACACATTATTCCTATATTTGCTATATGATCAAAACACAAACTTACAAAAACCGAGGTATACCCTGAACCCTTCCAAGAGTAAAAGGATCACCACGTTAATATAGATGCAAATCAGACAAGACTACTAATTTTCTGCAAACCTAAAAGGAAACATTTCTGCACTTCAAAACCTGTAGATGGAAGTTACACAGTCACTCTCCCACATTTCCTAGTCTGCCATCAATGTGAACAAGGAGCCAGGCACACACGCTCTTAAATGAAAAAGTAATCAAGTTAAGGGTTTTCTTTTCAAAAAATTATGCCTTGAGGTTGTTCGTTATAGACACTTGGTGTTACAATGGAAAACAAGTTTTTCATGTCCAGGGCACATAAATTCAAGTAGTAAAATGAAACGCCACTTAAATATTTTTTTCAATACCAGATTTCTGGTTTCTGCCTGTTTCTCCTGCCAAAAAAAAAAACCAAACATTGTATGACAGACTGAGCCACTTGAACCCAAAACTGCAACTCAGATTTGGGGTAAAAGTCATCATAAGATTGGTTCCTCAATAGAAGTACAGAAGTAAAGAGTTTTTGCTTTCTGCTTCACTTTTTTGAAACTCGTATTTCATTCTCATTTTACCTTTGTCCTGTTCTTTCCCAAAGCACTTCCACAAACAAAACGAGAACAAAGAGCATTTTTTAGGATCTCTCAAATTCTCAACATCTAATTACACTAAGACCTAAATTTTTTTTTTTTTTTTTTTTTTTTTTAAATTGAGTCCAGGTCCCTTCTCTTGAGATATACTGAAACACTGTATGGTACACACATATACTCGATATCATTTTGGTGTCAAAACCCTGTATGAGAATAAGTTAACTCTGGACGAGTCTCAGTGGAGCAGGAGCTCACGCACCCTTCAGATGTGGGGTTCGGCTCCGCAGAGGAATGGCTGCAGCCTTACAGCCCTTGGGTATCCAAGCAAAATCCAGAACTGGTGTCTAGGAGTTCCTTGAGGAATTACGGTGAACTAGAGACATCTCCTGGCCGTGGGATGAATCAGCACTGCTGAAAAATAATTCGTCTCCACCATGTGAGTTTTGGGCCATCCATAAATGACAGGCACGTACACACGACACACTTCATATCGCATTCACAGCCAGGTAAATTCGAGAATGCTTAACTTCTCACTTAAAATTTTAATATATTCAACTTCATCTCAAGGTAATGAACTTCCCAGAATTAAAAAAAAAAAGAATTTTTTTGGTACAGGACTAAAAAGCACGTATTGCAAATCACATCATCTCACTTAACCACGCCGATGATGCTGAACACAGCTCTGGAGCAGAACTTGGACTGGGTGCTGTGCCAGTGACCAGCTGGCCACCACGGGCAGCATCTGGAAGAGAGGAGTCGGGATTCTTCTGTATTCCTTTGCACCTCCATTAAAACTTACGGGTATTTATCGAGGTAGGGAAACAGGCTTGATTAGACCAAGACACACACCCCGAAATACAGTTTTACACACTACCCAGCTTTCTTCACTGCTTTGGGGGATCATCTTACATTTTCTAGCCTCGCGACGACTGCTACCAGGTTCGCAAACCTGAACACAATGGAAGCATTACACTTCTGAAGACGCAAAGATCATTACAATCCACCCAGTTCAGCAGTTCAATTAGCGAGCACACAAAATCTCGGGTTAACAACATCTGACAAAATTACTTAAATAAAGCAAAACAGAACATAAAGCTCTTTGCTTGCTAAAAAGAGCACAACTATTTCTGCCTGTTAAAAACAAAAAAAGCCAAGGCAAGCAAATTTGAAATAATTTGCACTGCTCGCTCTCTCCCTCCCCCTTAATAATCTGCCCTATTCTTGTAGGTTGGGTCATGACAACTGGTCTGCTCGTTACAATAATCTTTTTGACATGTTTGGTAACTACCTTCCCACACAACACAGCATAACTTCCTACTTCCTCTGATCTTACCATGTTTCGCTTTGGTGGTGTGAAGATTAAAGCTTATCCAATTAGCCACCCACTGCCTCCGCCAAGTTAATCACGTAAATCTTTGAAACCGTCACAGAGCAGTGGAGTGTGCGGATAGCTTTTGATTATAGGAGCAGATTTAACTAATTACGAGGCTTAGCAATGCGCCCAAGTATAAAAGATGATGGGGTTTAAAATCAGGGAGCTATGTCACCGCTTAACAAGGGAGAGCTTATCTTCCAGAAGGCATTGTTTCACTGATAATTCTTATAATACTTCCCAAGTAACTTAAGATTAGTCAACCAGCACTTACTTTAGACCAAGGCCACACATCAAGGCTTATGGCTTCAGAAGACTGATCAGCAAGACTGAATTTTAAACAAAACCTGGGTCATATGACAATTGGTTGCACGATCACTCGAACATTCCCTTAACGATACAGTTGTACAGTGGGGCTCTTTGAAGTGCCCAGAGCACCTCGGCCGGGCTTCACAGGTCAGTCTGCAAGGCGATGGCAAAGAAGCAGGGGTATTCTCTCACTTACGGTTTAATTGCTCTCACTGGCAGGCAGTGTATTTTAGGAAGCTCCAAGCTACTAAATAAAACAAGTATAATTTTAATATACAAAACAAAAGCTCTCCCCTCCCTCCAAAAAACCCAGGAGAAGCCACGTGAGCACGAGCACTTCCAAATCCCCTCCAGGTACCTTCCCAGGTGGAGACTTCCCCCAAGAACCGCTCCCGACAGGAAGCCTACGGAAGGGGCAGCATCCCCTGCAGCTGGCAGAGGACTTCCCACTTCCACCAGCACAAGAACCAGGAGCAGCATCTCTCACGCTCAAGGAAACGCCGTGCTGCTCTTGACACCATCTACCTGCAGTTTGGTTAACTGGTCCCACTGGTTCCAAGAACTGGAAGCTGCACAAGCCAGCTGCCACACGGGATGCCGGGCAGCTGGTTTGCAGAACACGGCTACCTCGCGGCACCTCCAGGCTCACTAATTCCTGCCCACGACACAGGCACAGCAGCTCCGCACCGCAGCAGCGGCGGCTCCCAACCACCTCATGCTCGTACAGGACAGCGGGTGCCCGCAGAGGAGCGGCACAGAGCGAGCGACAAGCTGGAAGCATGTTTGCACAGTTGTACGGGCACACTTATCTTGGAACAACACGTCCACTCAAAACGCTGAGTGGGTGGGTGGTGGGGTTGTGGCAAGAGCTACACAGAGGAGATACTCCTACACCAGGGTGAGTATCCCCAGAGAACGTTACCTTTATAACAACATTTACACTCACAGTTTATTTCACAGCAGTCTCACTTTCCTATGCAAGCCCTCAAAATATACACCACAATAAAGATTTCCATCAGAGATTAATCTTGCTATCAAATATTACCACCTTCTTCCTACACCATCCCTTATTTTCCATGCAAAATTGGACATAGCACAATATTAAATATATTATGAAACAGTTTACGTAGTCCGCACCAAAACAGTTTCACCTCTACAGCCCAGCTGCACTCCTCAGGAATGAGAGAATTGTAAGAATGAATAATTCTTTCTAGAAAGAAGCTGCATCTTGTATAATTACACCCAGAGTAAAGGCAAAGGGACAAATCTGCTCCTGTCAGACTATTTGTCCCACTCACAAAATGCTCAAGAACTCCATCACCTGCACCCCACACCCGAGGTGATGGATTCTCCCCCCCCAGGCCCATACTTTCAGGACCAGAAAGCTCACACCTGAACCCCTGCTCTCTAAACAGCAGCTGAAGTCTCCCTGACCATAAGCAACAGGAACGTGAGCCTCCAAGCCGGTCTCAGCTTGGCGTTTGTTCTCACTACAGACCCAGCACGCCCACGCCAGAACAACAGCGTCACTGCCGGTACAGAAACAACCTTGAGCAGGAAACTTCAGGTAGTTTTGAGCAAAGTCAGGAGGCAAAACATAAAGCACGGAGCTCAGCCGTGAAAGCCGCCCTCCTGCTGACATTTTTTCCTGAGGCTAATGAGTAATAAGTTTTAATAACAGGTACGTAGGCACAACCTGAAGCACAATGCCTAGAATTCACAGAATCACAGAACAGTTTGGGTTGGAAGGGATCTTAAAGATCAGCTAGTTCCAACCCCCCTGCCATGGGCAGGGACACCCTCCATTAGACCAGGTTGATCAAATCACAGGGTTTGACTTACTTTTCTCTGTTACGTTTAAATAGCCCTTCTTTGCTATTCTTTATAAAACACAAGTATATGCAATTTTCTCACAGCCACAGTCCTGACTTCAACGAGGTCCTTCAGGAACCTTTGGTGTGCTCTGAAGGAAGGCGGACGCAAACTGTCCCTTGAACACAGACCAAACCGAGGAGACTTCACTATATTACTGGAATCTCCCTTAATTTTGAGGTGGGCGCAACAACCCTCGGGTTTTAACAGGCACTGTACCCGGCTGCGTGGGTGAGGACATGCTCACGTCATGTCTGCACGTGCTGTAACCTACAGAGTGCTTCCAGGAGACAAGCGCTACAACGGGAGATGACCCAGAGACACAGTTTAGGGACGAGGAGGGTGTTGAGACAATTATGACCACGTTGGCTTGTGACTGCACAGCCAAAGACACGTTAATCCTGGAAAAATCCTGCCCCAGCCCCTAGATTCGATCTTATGACTCAAGCCTCAGACATTCTCAAGCATGGGTTTCTGCATGGACAATTCACCTCTATTTCCAACCTCTCCATCAATCTCCTAGACACAAGGCTAATCGCATCCAACGTCAGAACGCTGTAGCTGCAGCCGGGAGGGCTTCCAACAGTAGCTGGTAGGGAAGAAGGAAATTAGGAAGGAGTTTTAAAGGCACCTAAACAACTGGTTTTAATCTTATTTTCCAAAAAACGTTTGCTCCTCTATAAACAAGAGCCAGATTCCCAAAAGCCTTTAAGCACCTAATGGCTTATTGATTAGAGTCGGGCACTCGATGCCTACTTGGCACTCAGCAAAATGCCTTACATCTGACAGAAAATATTTAAACAGAAAAAATGATAACCCATGTTAAAGAAAAAAAGAATATGGCCTCTTCTAAAATTGACCTAGGGTAGCTATGACTTAAGGTACATTGTATCCCGCCGCCATCAAAAATTTTCTAGATTTTTGAGACTCAAAGAGAAATCAAGAAAGGCGTGCTAGCTTATTTATTCACTGCTGATTAACAAATACTCCTACATACTGACTACCTAGTCAGACAGGAAGAGGAATATTCTTGATTCTTTTGTCTACACAAATGTTTAAAGACTCATAGAAGCTTGATATGTGATTTCCAGAAAGTCAACGTCTTGTTGCTTTTTCCACTTCTGCCTTTCAAGCGGTGTGAATCCCTGGGAATTTCTGCCCCATTAAAGCCTCTGTTATAACAACAGGCACAGATCTCTTTCCAAGGAGAAAAGAGGGGAGAAGATACTGAAATTGCCTATTGAAAACCAATTAAAGAAAATTTAACTGACCCTACTCAGGCAGAGTCATGTAAACAGCCCAACCTTTCCCCTGGAAAATTCCAGTTGCATCTTAATTAAGGCCGACAATGCCGGAAGGTAAATTAATGCTATACCAAAGTAATGTAGTGTCCTGCCCTGTGCTCTGGCCCAAGTTGTCAGTTAGGATAAATACTAAGAGCATTAAGGCCACTGTACTTCACAATCAGAAATAGCTTTACAGCAGTTTTCAAAGGATGTAAAACTCACTGAATGGTGACCAAATATAAACGAAGATTAATTCTGGTGAAACCCTCACAGTTACAGGCCACGGGGACAATAAATATGTGATCAGTGGTGCAAGAAGGTTAATGAAAGGAATGACTGCTGGAAAGAAAAAGACTTCTGAAAATGTGTGCTGTCACATCAGAGATGGATTAGATACAGAAAACCAATACAAAATCAGAGAAAAGTGTCACTGCTAGAATTTAATCAAACAACATGTGCTGATTTTTCTAATGCAGTGGGAAAAGCTGACTTTCAGACTTCAGACACACTGACCATGGCGTTTGCCACCTACCAAAATGCAAAGCAGGCTGTTCCAGAAGCCTGAAAGAGCTTTAGAGAAAGCCAGAGCCACAAACAGCAGCTGAACCCCACCAGAAGCTGTCGTTGTCTGTCCCTACAAGCGGTACGGGGAGACAAGCTCCTTCCCTACGCACCTACCTGCGGGCCAGGCTCAGGCGAGAGAAAGCTCTGGCACAAGATTCAGGCCCTGGCTACGACTCTGCCCGCACCACCGAAAACAAGACCTACAAGGGAGAATGTGGAAGGGGTGTGAATTCGCCAAGCAGAGAATAGTTGGCATAGTTTTATCCAATTTTAATTAGTTAAGAGAGAACTATAAAACTTCAAGCCTTGCAACACTAGCAAATAAATGCTGTCTCTGATGCTATCTTGTGCTGGAAAATACTGGTTTCCCTGATCATTTCTAACAGAGCTTGAAATTTTCATGGGATTTTGATATTTTCCTCCCGTCTGCCTCGACACCTTCACACCAGGGCAGCTCTAGGTTGAATCCTCACCCTCTGTCTGCTCCGCAGCAGGGACGGCCACGCTCCAGGTCAGATCCGTTTAGGGACCGCTCAGAGCGGGTGACACACAAGCACGTTCTCACGTCATCAGTCCCCGTAGACAGTTTGCCTGCTTGCTATTTTACGTGTTTCCACTGAATCGGCGATAGATGCAAAAGCCGGCACCGATGCATCAACCAGATTTGCACTGAGCTCTGGAGAATGCCAGACCTAGAGCAGTGAATTTATTCGGTCAAAGTCTACAGTTTTACTACCTGCAGCAGGCGTTGCATTGACAATGTCTGTGTATGCAAAGACAACAAACCACAAAGCGAAACACGCGCTTTGGCGGTACCAAGCACCACACCGGAGAACAAAAGCAAGCAGAGACCACCCTCTACACCATGTCACTGAATGGAGCCTCACAAAACACGAATACACACGTGAATACAGAAAACCATCACTTAAACTCTGAGTATCTCTTATACCTGCTCCAAGATACACAAAGTAAACAAGGGTGGAAACAACACTCACACTTGTACCCGATTTTTTACTATACAATAGCTTCAAAACTCTCTCTGCCTTTTTCAAGAGCGCAGCACTGAAAAGGGACTGGTTCTCAAAGAGCATCAGCAAAAAGGCTCACTTCAAAGCGTGAGGAGTTAAAAGCATACAAAGTTTTGTTCTGTTCTAAGAGGGAGGGCTGACACATTGCAAACAGGGGAGAAACCTTCTCAGGGGGGCTCTAACGCTTTCCCTCCCACAAGTAACCTTACAGGTGCACGTACAGAATGCAACACTGTGTATTTGCTACAGAAAAGGTCCAATGACTATAGTGCATTAGAAAATGCCTGCCACTTCGAAGCACAAGCTAATTTTTTTTTTTTTTAATAAATGTGTATTTCTACCTCACGTGCATATTGGAGAAGCACAGTCGCACTCTTCAGAGGCAGATCTCACTACACCATGGGTCAGCAGAGGCGAGGAAGCTCTGCTCAGCCACGTCGTATGACCCGGAGCACAGCTCAGCGCTGCGCAGGGCTCACAGGGCAGCGCGCAGCCCCTCGCGTGACCCACAGCCAGCCTACAAAGTCTGCGCTTGCTGCATTAAAGCTTCCCACACATCAACAAAATAGGTGCCTGCACCCAACAGCCGTGATTCGTATAAAACTTCCATGAATGTATGTTCACTTTTTTAAAGATATAAGGCTTTAAAACAAAGCTTTACCAATTACAGTCTACACTCGAGAGTAACTTCATTGACCACAGAAATACAGCAAGCTCTGCAAACTCAGAGACCGCAGCTCCGCTTCTCTTCTGCACCATTTTGTGGGACAGATTACCTGAATCTGCAAAGGAAAAATTAGGAAGAGCAAATGCAATCACCAGTGCTAGAATTTAGCCATAACGGTAACTCTCACACAGAGCGGTGTTTAGTGACCTGCAGGGGGTCAGGGAAGTCACACTCTTTGGTAACGGGGCTTCTCATTTTTTGCAGGAACGTTGGCTCAGGGCTAACAGATTAAAACAGTGAATCACGAGCATGCTTGTGAAGTTGTCCCTCAACACATGCCACTTCCATTCCGAGGTACCATGGCCCTAACCCTGCGCTAAGGGGCAGATCTACCAGCTATTTGCTTGCAGAGGAAGGAGGAAATGACAGCTTCATTTTGTCGTCTGTAGCCTGGCTACCAGCACAGGAACAAGGCTTATTTATCACTACCCCTTTTCTCCTCTGCTCCTCCAGCAATTAATTCATTGGGCAGTTTAAACACATCGAAAGAAAAAGGAGTCTCAAAGAAAAATCAACTTTTACAACACAGATGAAGAGGCAGAGCTGAACGCAGGACACTCTCCCTCGAGCAGTGGGGACATCATTGAAAACACAGGGAGAAAGAGGAGGAACAAGGAGAAAAGGGAGGGTGGGTTATGCTATTTGAATTGGGAAAGGAAAGAGAAGTGTAACAAATTCACAGGAATCTCTCGATTCTGCTGCTTTTGAATTCGGTATTTTAGTGAGGCATAAAAGCTCCTGGACATAAAGCAGCTGCAGGAGCTCCTCAGCGAGACACATGCTCAGGCAGAAACTGAAGCTACCAAAAACTCTGAAGCACAGCCAAGGGGAGCAAATACTCGCCACTGGAATCCCGTAGGCAAAAGCTGGTGCTGAGCTAACTGGAAATGGCTAACGTTCAAAGGGCCATTAACAAAGCACTAGAAACAACCCATCCTTCCTTATTCGACTGCACATTGAGTTTGCAGGACTACAACATTTGCAGTAAGAGATGTCTTTATATATAATTCTATACCAAGTCTATTCTAACATGGTTTGTACCTGATGGACAGAGCACTGGTAGTAATTTAATTTAGGCAAGAGGCCTGAATTTCACACTTCAAGAAAAGGCTCTGCCTTTCTTCCTGATCAGAGACCACTGGGGATGGATTCTGTCCAAGAACCCGTTAGGGATGCCAAACGTAACTCCTTCTGCTAGAGAGAGGCTGTATGAGAACGGCATAAGGACAGCACAACTTGAAGGCTATTAACCGGAATTAGTATTCCCAGATGTGAAGGACACAGCAAAATGGAAATGAAAATGTTTTCCATTTGAAGGCCCCTGCTGATTGCTACACAATACGATCACTGGGGACTGTTTGAAGCTTGAGCCTTATCCTGACAGTTTTCTTCCCAACAATTCACGCAGACCTTGTACAGTGGCACCCATCAGTTCAACTCGGCTCTTACCTCTCCCAAGGAACTCCCCATTCCCTCGCCCCCCCCACCTTTGCAGACATATATGATACCATCACAAAAAATCCACGTGATTTCTAAGCAAATGAAAGGGCAGTTTGCTAAATGTAGAGGTATATGAGTTCAACGGATGCATTTAACATTATCTTTGAACATACTCAAAGCACAAATCACATTGTTCATTTGAGGCAACAAGGCCATACCTTATCACGTCTGGTTCTGTGCCTTCATTCTTATACGATGCCTGAAGTTGTTTCTGTCGTGTGAGAAGGTCATCCACCAAATTCTGCCTCCTGTCTCCCTCCAGCTGTGTGCTGATGATACTTGGTTAAGGATCAAACTTAAAAACACTGAAAAACTTCAGTTTTATTATATAAAATAATACCTGTTACACATCCTTAAAATAAATTGTACCTCCCAATCATCAAAATTAACTAGAGCAACTATTTTAACTCAAGAAAAGGCTATAACACCTAAGAGAAGAATAGGTCACAGGTTTCTGAATGAAATCTGCTGTTATTCTACATGTGTTTCTGAAGTTTCCAGATCTCAAAACAGTTTCATACAGTGATCACAGAGTGATCTCCAGGTCATTGTCTCAAAGTAACAAGAGAACCAGAAGGCTATTTACTGCCAAAGTAGCAGAAGTATTAATAATAGCACTTCCTCCTCCAAAATCCAACATAATTCTTCTTTCCTTTATTACTAAGAAGTCCTACACAGTTGATCTCTCCTGTAACACTGACAGTGTACAACAGCACTGCATGGGTTCAGCTCCGGGAAGGATGAGTCTTCTCAGAAGAGCTCCAACTTATACGGTTACGATATAAACAGGGCAGGCCCAAACAGAAGAGAGCTTTTGAAATCAGCAGGGTACCTCACATCTTATTTCACTGGAGGCTCAGAACACAGACCAGGTGAGCAACGCCCAGCCAAGGGACAGGCAACCAAGCACAAATTTACTTTGATCATCTGTTTCCATTTGCAATTCAGCAGCAGAAAACCAATTCATGCAGTACCTCTGAAAGACAAGATGCCCTGAAGTGCTGCAGCTTCAACAGGGGACATGTGTTTGCTTTTCTTAATTAGTCTTAGTGACATTCTGAAGGACTAACTCCTTTCCAAGTACCGCTCAGTAGGTTATGCAATAACTGAACTTATTGTGTATGTTTTCCGCCACAGCAGTAGCATTCATCTCCTCTCAAGCGCTCACTGGACAGGAAAGTTTTACCCCGGCCATCCCTTAGAAGGGATATCTGCTATAGTACGCTTGAAATTAAACATTCATTCATTAATCAGATTGCTGCTGGACAGCTTCAGGGAGATGGATGTACTACTTTGACTCCCTGAGCCCGAGTATCCCAGCATATGGAAAGAGCAGCAAACCCAAGCCAGACCACAGGGTAACGCTCCTAGAAGAAAATCTGTGATTTCTTTCTATGGCACATCTTAAAGCATTTTGCCGTCATTCCGAAGATGCAGGTCCATTGCTCCTTAAGTCAGTCCAAGCCAGGCCTGCCACACTCCTGCCCACACCCCGAACAAGCCTTCATCCCGCCTTCTTGCAAACACTGGCACTCCTGCAGCCAGCAAAAAATAACAATTAGCGAGTTTTCTGCTAAAGGAGCGCTCGCAGGGCGCAGGCAAGATGATGGCAGCTCTGAGATTGTTCAGACCATCTTGTTAAGCCTCACAAACATAACCAAAGCCAGCCTCGTGCCCGCCACACCAGAGACACCCAGGGCCCCAACAATTCCTGCACTACAGCTGCAGTGAAAATATTAAACAGCAGCACGGACAAAGCTCTAGCGACAAAGTCTTCTAAAAAAGGAATGAGGGAAAAACCCTAACTGCGTGGCAGAGCAATTACAGCTTATTTTTCCACTCTCCCCCACAATAAGAAAGGTCATTGAGTTGATGTTTACACAGATACATTTGGTGTGTTGATACAGCCCGAAGCAGCAAGTCCTTCAGCTGATCGATCTTCTCTCTGAGATTCTGCAACGACGATCTGATAACCACGTTGAGCTGAAGGGGAAAAAAAGAGATTTTTTTTTTTTTTTAATCCGAGTTATATTTACATTAAATTTAATACTACTACATGCAGGTGACAAAATATTTAACTTCAGCTGCACCAGTGTGAAGGACTCCATTCTAAACCAAGAAAGCCTGCCTCAGAGCCACAAAGGGACCGATACAGTTAACTGGTTTGGATTGCTTACAAAATCATAGAATGGTTTGGGTTGGAAGGGACCTTAAATAGTACTGGTTTCGCAAACACGAGCCTAATGCATGAATGCTGTTTAATACGGAGAGCGTTCTTTCAAGTCTTTATAAACACACTCCTTTATATGGGCAAAATATTTCAGCACATTTTAATATTTTCCAGTTAGTTTTCCAGTTCTTTCCTCTGATCTTTAATACAAATACAGGCGCCAGCTGCTTCTGCCACCAGGTTTCTTTCCCAGCTCCCAGGATTAGAGGGCAGGTTCCTACAGGTTCAGACATTCCCTCCACTGAACTCCTCCAGACTTTAAACTAAAGATCCCAAAGAAATTCAGACTTCCACCATTTCCCTTCTCGGTAGCAACTCTGACTCCCGACCCTTTCTCACAACTGACCTGCCCAAGATTCTGGCGCATCTGTTCTTACTAAAAACGTAGTTAATTGTTCACATTCTTCCCTACCCCAAGCAAGCTCGAGGTTTGCGGGAATCCTCCTCCTCCCTCCCCACCCCTTCCCAAGTTAGGCTGACATTGTCCTCTGGGTTTTTCCTCCTTAAAGGTTATTTCTTTTCATTCCAGTTTTGTAAAACATACTAGGAAAAAACACTGTAATTTCAATTAACTATGCAAGTCATCCTAATTAAGACTTTATGCGCTTCTTGTTTACAAGATATTAGCCCTGCTGTGGGTTATAACAGTTAGCAGCCTCAGATGCTCCGTGTGATGAACTAAGAACAGAGAAGGGATATTTGCTTTGACACTCATTCCCGCTCTCCTGAAGACATGGAGGCAGCAGCCAGACACCAGTCTCACTGAACGGTTGCCATGCTGCTAGGGTGCTGCCTAGGGCTAAACAGCATGGGGATGGAGCAGGAGTTCCCAAAAACTCACCTGAGAGCATCAGAAGCTTAAATCTCTCTGCCTCAGAGAGACCTGTTCTCAAACACTACCAAATACAATGACAGAAAGGAGAAGGAACCCTGCCGAGGCAGTCTGGAGAGCACGCGGCTGCAAAATCCACCTTCAGACCCAAACCAGCCGAACACGGCGGCAGTTCCAAAGCCAGGATGGGGTACAAATGCTTTTAGGAAATTCCAAGCTGCTGCACAGTCTCTAGCTCTGCCATCAGGTAGAAAAGGCCTTTTCATTTCACATGTACAGCTCCTGCACTCCTGCCTGGGTTGATTAAATGCAAAGGTACACGTGTCCAGGAAAGTCATCTAACACACAGACTCCCTCTGCTACTCTGGCCAGAAATCGGAGTGCTGTAACAAAAGATTTCACTTCCATTAAAGAAAAAAAGAAACCAATGGAAGTTTTAAGAATAGCTCAATGGAACAGAGTTCACAGATGGTAAGTGCTGGCTTGAAATCTTTCCCTTTAGGTTGGGGTTTGGTTTTTTTCCATTTTAAATTTTATGCTCAATTTTTTTTGATCAGCAATAAGGGGTTTTTTAGCCGTGCTAATGGCAAAATACTATAAAAACTTGTTTACGTTCTCCCTACCAGGCAAATATTGTACAAAGACTTTCTCTCCATTAAAACATTCAGGAGTCATAGAATCGATGACTGCTCAGCCGTGATTTCTCAACATGCATTTCTGTTATGAAAACAACCCTCTCATTGTTGGAAACTTGTTTATAGTAGAATCAAACACTGCCAAACAATCATCTTTAACTGTTAACGGATTAAAGGGAAACAGCGCTTGGAAAACACAGGGCATGGAACAAATGATTTTATGAAGAAATAAGTCAACCACGTAATGTTTCCATAAAACACAACCTACGAGAGTTACGGCACAAGAAAGGCTCAAACAACGTTAATACGACGTTTTGTTGGGGTTTTGGGGAACGCGTCACAGATTGCAATGATGCCAACAGAGAACTTTGTCCTCTATAAACACAGATGGATAAAGCAGCAATCTTTTTATTAGTCTTCTATTGCTTGAGTATGTGTCTGCACAACGTCTAATACTTCATCGTCTCAAAAGCAGGGAGTTTAATCACCACGTCTAAACACTCCTCTCAATTCTACAGCTAGAGAAAATATTTCTCTCAAATCCCACGTATTTGGGCCTTCTGAAGCTTCTTTTCAAATCATGCCGAATTCAAGTCATTCATTAAAAAGCACCGATTCTTGCACAAAGCCTACACAGTTTTCTTCAACATTTCTTCAAAGGAAACATTTCCAAAAATGACATTTTCCTTTAAGAGCTATCAGCAAAGAGACTGGCAAGGAAGAGTCAGCGATCGCACATCACATTACAACCCTGCTGTAAAGAGGGGCAGAGCCTACCAAATAAATCAGTGCGGGTTTTAATTATGCAAATTATTATAAAAGACTAAGCCGAGTGCTTGCACGCATTTTCATCTTAACGCAGTGAAGGGAGAAGGTAACGGCACGAGGCCTGGGGCGTGCGAACAAGTCAGCTCCTATGCTTGTTGAAGGAAAGGACGAGGCTTTTAGTCCGAAAGGCAGCAGCCTCCTGAGAAGCTTTTTATTTTCTTTTTTAAACGGGAAGTGTGAAAAGGTGGGGAATGTAATATTCCTGGGTAAGCTCTAACTTCTGCTTCTCATTCATATTTAACTCTGGTCTTGTATTTTGCTAGAAATGCAGGTAAAAAAGGCCAAAAAATTCATATTTTATCTGATGTACAGCCACTACAGAAAGAAACCAAGCCGGGCTTGTGGGGAAAAAAATACCTGCTCAGTATTTACAGGAAAGGAATACACAGGAGCTACCATGCATCCCAACATCCCTTCGCTTCAGGATCTCTGGAAACAGTTCTGTTCCCGGCAGTGACAGCCCCGAGCAGTCAGGAGCGGGGACCCAACGCTCCCCCGGCTTCTCCTCCTCTTTGTAAGGCCAGCACTACTGCACGCCTGAAAGATTCGTTACTGCTAAATCCAAGATCACTTTTTGTGACACTGAAAAGCTACCGTTAATTCAGAAACTGCGTTCTTGTTTTCTTTATGGAAATCTTGAAGAACATACCATGAATATTAAGTTCCTGCCCTTTCACAGAACCTTCAATCCGCAGATGCCTCGCTGGCAGCAGAGGACCTGGCACAGCTGGGCGCAGGCGGTGGAGCATCACCCGCTTCCCTCTGCGGCCGCAGGAAATCCAGAGCTTACAGCTCCCTAGACACATCTGACTCCTGCAAATTTAATGCTTAGCCCGGATTTAAAACGGCTAAAAGCAAAAAGTACCTAAAAAAAAAAAGTAGTAAATCCAGGCTGGCAAAGCCCAGAGCTGCCGGTAGAGGAGTACCTTGGCTGAACTCTCCCCGTTCCTTTGGTACCGGTTCCGCTCCTGGATCTTCTCCGCGATCTCCTGGGCGACCTGGCAGGCGGCACCGTGCAGCGAGAGCCTGCGGGCGAGAGGCGGCA